GTATAGACCAAACTAAACAAAAAAGTTTTAATAAACATGGTTTTGGAGATATCGAATGAAAAAATTTTTAGAAATTTTACTAAAAGCTTTTTTTTTGTTTGAACAGATTGCAAATAAATGTTTCAAAAAACGAGTCCTTTTCGATATTAATAAAATTTTTATTAAAATGTAGCAATTCGTTTTTCTTCAAACTTTGCAGTTTCTGGTCAAGCAAAATGTTTACTACTACAAACGTCAAAACAAAGTCAATTCTTAACTTTACGTGAACATAAATTTTAAAAAAATATTGTGATTACTTTGACACGACAGTTCCAGTAATTTACAGGATCAGACTCAAAAAAATTAAATAAACGATGGTCAAAAAAATAAAATGTGTTAGAAAACGTAAGAAGTGGTAAGTTGCAAATAAAATAAAAAATTATTATTATTATTATTAATTCTGGGAACAAATAATTATTGTAAGAAAATTTTTAAAACATTAGTGCCTTTATTTGTTAAGATTTTTCTAAAAATACAATTTTTGCAGACAATTTTAGTTGCATTAAAGCTTGAAGTTTTCTATTTTTCTGGTGTTTTTTTTATATTTTAAATCACTCTCTTACAGAGTGAGTACATTGGAAGCATTTATCTTTAGATTGATGATAAACTATCATTTATTTTTAAACTAATTTATACAGGTGAACAAAAAGTATGGAATCAAGTATTTTATTTTAAAATCATTTGCTTTTTGTACAATGGCAATTTGTATAAAATATTTGGTAAAAATTAAATAAACCGCAATAAACAGTTGTTATTCTTAGATCAAATTTTGCAGAATTCAAAACAAAATAAAATTGGAACATTTTTATAGTGCTTTACCACTGATCATTTACGAGTTGCATAATTTTTGTTTATTTATGTAGCACACAGAAAGTCTCAAAAATAATAGAAAAAAATCAGTTTTTTAAAATTATTCAGAAAATATTATAAAAATAGCTTTTTTATGTCGATGTAAAAAATTACAGGAAAGACTTATCGAAAAATAATACTTAATTACCAT